AATAATAATGATAATAATATTAATAATATAAAAAAAAATATTTATAATAATAATAATATTAATAATAATAATTATAATATTTTTATTTAATTATTATATATTAACAAATAATTAAAACATATAATAATATAATTTTTTTTTCCCCTAATTAAAATATATTATCTATTCTTTTAATCTAATAAGGAAAAAAATAATAATTATATAATAAAAAATACAATTTTTTATTTTTTGTATTTATTATTTCTTCAATGTATTTATTTTGTTTACTTATATTTAGAACAAGATATAAATAAAAAAAAATATAAAAAAATAATAGTAAAAAAAACATGATTATTACAACAACAATTAATAGTCAATAAACAAAATATAGATATTATAAATATAAATATTAATATTCATAATAAAAAATAATAAATATAATAATAATAATAATAATAATAATAATAATAATAATAATAATAATAATAATAAAAATATAATTATATAATAATATTAATATCAATAATATTAACTATAATCATCTTTAATATTAATTTTTTATATAATTATTTTATATAAATAATTTAATATAAATTCTATCTAATAATGATTATAATATTTTTTTATTAATATCTATTTATTTTAATATATATATTTTTTTTATAAAAATCTATTTAATTAAAAGTATTAATATTTAGATATATCTTTTTATATTATTATTAAATATTTTATATTTTTTTTTTATAATAAATACTTATAAAATATTTTTTATAATTGTTTCCTTTAATCTAAAATTATATTTTATTTTTATTTTATTTATAACATATTTCATATTTTTTTTGTTTTGAATTTTCTTTATTCTTTAAAATATATTATGTTATTCAAATTTTATAAAATATTGTTTTATAATTATATAAAGTTTTTAATTTTGAAATTTATTATTGAAATTTTTATTAATAATTTATTTTATATTATTATTTAATATTTAAATGAATTTTTATTTTTTATTATATTACAAATTTAAAATTAAAATTAAATATATTCATATAAATATATTGTAAAATAATTTATAATAAATATAAATATATTTTATTTTAAGAATAAATTAATAATTAATAAATATATATAATGTTTATATTATAAAAATATAGATTTTAATGTATTTTATTAGAAATTCTCATTTTTTTATAAAAACCATATTATTTTTTTAATAAAAGTAATAATTTTTTATTAATAATATCCCCAATTTTTTCCAAAGAACTTTTAAGTTTAAAATTAATTATTTTAATACTTTCGATATTGATTCCATTATTGTTAATAACTTCAATAATTTCTAATATTTTTTCTTGGTTTTTATAATTATCCCAAATAATTTGAATGTAAAATGGCATACTATTCTTTATATCAATAATTTAATTGAAGCTAATATAAATTTTAAATCATTTAATCATTTCTAGTAATAATACCTAAACCCCAGCAACTCTACTATTAAGATCAAATTCAATTTTTTCATAATCTTAAGTAAAAATAGTTTAGGTAGATTCTTTTAATAAATAAAGTTTAAAATTTTTGATTCCAATAAATTGGATTTATTTTCTTTGATTTTAACAAAAACTCTTATAATTAATTATATTTACTTAATTTAATATAAATATTTAACTATTTTTAGTCGCAATTTAACTTAGATGTTTTTCATTATTAGAAATACTATTTATCAATATATTTAATGAATGAGCTGCCACAATTATCAAACAACCTTGATTATATTTTGTAAAAAATCCATTATTCTTGTTTATAGCTTAAATTACAGTTTTTTTTAATAATAAAATTATGGTATATCTATATTTTACTATAAAAAACTTAACAGATGACCATAAGATTAATAAATAGCAATAACACATAAAGCCTTTTAGTTTTATAATTATTTTATTTATCAATCTAAGAATCTAAGAGTTAAATCTTCTAATATTTTTCAAAGCATCAAAATATTTAAGGGCTTCAAAGAATTAGCGAAAAATCTTGCTATACATTACCTAAAAGAAATTCTTATAGCGGGAGTTCCTTTTGCAATTTTTAGTCCATAAATGGAAACTCTATTGTATTATAATAATTGAAAAATTTTTTTAACTATATTTTAAAAAGTTTCAGTAATTTCTAGGTTATGATCAATATTAACTATTGCAGTCAGAATATTTTTTAATTTATAAGTTAATTAAAAAAAAATAAGATGATTAAAGTATTAATTAGATAGAATCGTAAAAATTACTAAAAGTAGTATTAGATAAATTTGAAACAGCTTTTTAAATTAATTTCCTAGAAAATATTATATATATTTATTATAATTATAAAACTTTCAATTTTTTTTTTTTTATTGTATATATTTTTATATAATATAATAAAATTTACTTGATTTCATATTTATTAAAAAAAAAAGTAATTAAACCAAAATCAGGTTTTGATGTAAAATTTTAACCTGTATCATTTTGTTTAAATTGCTGAATTGAAATATAATTTATATTTGGATTTAATCATTACTGTTTATTACTGATAAGTTATCAAATTATAAATAAAGAAATCAACTAATTATTATTACTTTCGTACGAATAATTAATTTTTTAAACGCCGTTTTAAAAATTTTATTTTAGATTTTTTTTGATTTTGTTTTGATTTTTTTTTTCTAAAGATTAATTTTATTTGTTTTAGTTGATTTCTTAATGATTTTAAGGTTATTTTATTTTGATGATTTGCTTATTAAATTGACTCTTATATATGAAATTAGTTTATTTGGACATGTTTAAACATTAATTTTTTATATATATTAATTTATTTTATTTTTAAAGCTTTTTTTATTAATAATTTGTTTTTTTTAAATAAAATATAATGAAAATTTGATTTACTTTCTTAAAATAATAGTAGTTATTATTGAAATAATAATTTGTTTGAATGTGATAATTATAAGTTAACTGAAAGTTGAAGTTCTAAATATTAAATTATTTATTTTTATTTTAAATTTTCTTATATTAATTATTAACAAATATAAAAATTCTAATATAATTAAATTTATTAAAGTTGATTAATTTATTTCTCATAATGCTTTTTTAAATCTATTATAGAGCATGAATTCTAGTTTATTTGACTTTTTATTCGAAATATATTAGATTTCGTTTATATTTTTATTATAATTAGTTTATTTTTTATATTCTTCTGTAATTTAAATTATAAATTTTTTTTTTTTTTATAAATAAAATAATTTAATAAAAGATTATTATATTTAATAAAATATAATATAATAAATAAAACTAATAATTATGTAATGATAATAATATTAATAAGGAAAATTATTCTCTTTCATAATTTTTCACCAATATCAACTGCTTTAATATATTCTTCTTCCGTAAGATTTAAGGTTCTAACGACTTCTAAATGAGTTTTTTATTTTTTTAAAAGCTCAATTAATTTTTATTATTTTTTGAATGCTTAAATTAGTTCTTATTTTTATCTATCAAGTCTTTTATTCTCTAAATTTAATTAATCATTTTATTTTTTAAATCTTCTTATTTTTCTTTTTAATTTATTGATTTTTCTTTCTGATTTATTTTAATGCTTTCTAATTCTTCTTAAAGTTTTTGGATTCTTTTTGAATTTTTATTTTAATGAAAACTAAAAAAAATACTTTTTATCTTTATTTAAAAAATTTTATTCAATTTTTTAATGATTTTCTATTTATTCTTAAATATCCTATTTTTTTAATAAAATTAAAATAAAAAAAAACTTAAATTAATTAATTAATCGACTTTTTAAAATATCATATTTTCTCTTTCTAACATTTCTTTTTTTTATTTTAAGTCCTTAGATACTAACTTTATTTATTCATATTTTTCTGTTACTTTTTATATTTCTTCTACTTAAAGTTTTTAGTTTTCAGTCAAATATTTTCCTTTACTTTCAAAATCTTTAATTTAGTTTTCTATATTTACTAAAGCATCATTTAATACATCAGATTGGCTTTCTAATTTTATAATATCCTGTTTTTCTTATTCTATTAATTCATCTTTTTTTTTCAAATATATAATATTTAATTTGGTTAAAATATTACCTTAATCTGTTTAAACTTGCTTTAATAAATTTATTTTTTATACTTATTCATTTTCATTTTTTATTTTTATTTCTTATATTTTATCAATAATATCTTTATTTTAATTCGCATATATGTCTTCGTCTGAATTTTATTGTTCATCAGATTCTTAAATCTCCTCATTTTATATTTGGTTTGTCTATTTTTATTCATTTTGTTTTCTTGTCTTTTTATTGTTTATAACAAAAATATATGTTATATTTGTTAAACTTTTAATATTACTATATTTTGCTATATTAATTATCTTTTTTTATCTAGTTCTTAATTTAATTATAATAATTCATATTCTTTATTTTAATATATTTCTAATTTACTATTCATTTTATTCTAATGTTTAATTTTTATTATTTTTTTAAATTTAAAAATAAAAGTATTATTTTTTAAATAATAAATTATTATTGAATTGAATATTAAAAGTTAAATAAAAATTTATTTTAATATATAGAAATAATTATAAAAAAAATTTTTTTTATATAAATCTAAAATTAGTAAAATATATTTTAGACAATAATAAACAAAAAACAAAAAAAAGTGAGAAGATTTGAATCAATTAATCCTTCAATTGCTGAAGTAATTTAAATTGAAGACGAAAAATTTATTTTGAAATCCTCCCAAAATATCTAATAAATTAAAGGTTTTAGCAAAATATTTCTTCACAGTTCTTTATTATTATAAAAGAACTATTTGATATTGAAAAGAAACCCTAAAACAACAATATTTTAATTATCAGCTCCCCTTCTAATATGTATTTTATTATTTTTTTAGTAAAATCTTGCAGATAATTTAAACAAAGTAACGTTAATAGAGAATGAAATAGCATAAATAGGAAAAATTCCAAAATGTATAAACCCAATTAATAATTCAACAAACTAATGTATAACATTAGGATATGGTATAATAGGAAATAGAGAAAAATGGATAGATTATGTATTAGACTATGTGGCATATGTAAATGATTTAGAACTTGAAAAAGACATAAGATAATTAACAGATAAAAATATCCAAACTAATTCTAATTAGTTTGTAAATTTTATTCACACTAACCCTAATATGACTTAAATTGGCGTAGTATTTTGTACAAGTAAATGGTCTATCATCAATGATTAAATTTCTATCCCTTGTTAAAGTAATTAAATGCCCCCTTATAATAAAAAAGTAGTTATGTATACAATATTTTATAATTGGACGCTTTTTTATAGGTCGCCTTATTTGAGCGGATTTGGTAAAAATCTTCAAAAAGACTGGGTTTTGTTAAGATTAAAAACTTCTATTGATAATGCAATTATTGACTTTTTTAGTAAATATGATATTCAAGTTGCCTCTTAGATTTTGGATTTAGAAAATTAGAATAATTAGAGTATATTAGATATAGATTTTAAAGAAAGAATTGAAAATGTTGCCCAGGATTTTCCTTTTGCGTATAATAGGTATATTTTATTAATTTAACTATTTTTTATTGTTTTTTTAAGATTTACAACTGGATATGATGTTGTTACTACTAATGGTGCTTTTTATTTTTTTATACCAATTATGATTAATTTTATTATACTTATTAATGAAATTTTGAGAGAAAAATAAAAAAAGTTAAGACATGGTAATTTCTTTTTTTTTTATATACTATTTAAAAAAGGAATTATGGTTATGGGAATGAGTCATTTTAGTTATTGGCTAAGTTGGAATATTACAGGAGGAATATTAAATGGAATTACTTGTTTTATATAAGTATGCTCAGGTATACTATTTAGATTTGATATATTTATAAAAACACCATTTCTTATAATGTTTGCATTTTTATGGATATTCTCATTAAGTATTACTTAAATAAGTTTTTTAATAACAAATATATGCACTGATACTGCGAATGGGTTTTTTAATTTGTTTATCTTTTTAAATATTATATTAAAATACAAAGATATTCAGTAGCTTATGGATTTTTATTAATGTCGATTGTTTTAGAATTTTTTTTGACAAATAATTTCTTTGTATATTATTTGTATAGGGAAGATGCAGATTTTTTTATTATTTTCCTTAAAAATGCATTTATTACATATCCAGCTTATCATTATTCTAAAATATTCGGAGACATTGCATTTAAAAGTGGAAAGCATTATTCGGTTTAAGAAAGTAGGTACCAATTTTTATTTATTTATTAAAAAAAAAAATCAATTTAGATGGATAGATGGGAAAGAGTATACTTATTAAGATTTATTTGAACCTATAGCAGGCAAATTTACTCTTCCTAAAGAATCTAGTTATGAATGTCCTTCTACTTTTCAAAGTTTTTTTCATTTATTTTTAACTATTTGCATATATTTTTGGCTTTCTGTTTATTCTGATCATGTATTTCCTAATGTAAAATAAATTAGCATTTTTTTATTTAATTATGTATTATTTTTAATTAGAATAGGGGTACTACAGAATAACCTTTATTTTTTATTTCACCTGAATATTGGTATAATGTCCTAGGATTTAAAAAAAGGTAAGTACTAAAATAAAAAATCAAACTTGATAATGATGTAAAAAAAAACAAAAATAATATGATTATACTGATATGGGTTTAGCAAATACAGTAAAAAGAGAAAAAAGAAGAGTTAAGGCTAATTTAAATGGAAAAGCAGGTTTTTTCCATATAAAATAACTAAATTAATGTTATAAATTTATAAAGAAACAAAAGGTATAAGAATCATAAAGATGGGAAAAACTTACCATAAATATCCTTTTGGAATAAAAACAAGTAAGGATAAAGTAGCTTTGAATAAAATTTATCTAGAAGTATTAATAATAAACAAATTTTATATAATAAAAAAATAGATAGAAGGAGGGGAACTATTAGCAATATTAGGGCATAATGGAGCAGGAAAAAGTACATTAATAAATATATTAACTGGTCTTTTATCCCCTACATCAGGAACAGCAGAAATGATGGGATATGATATAAATACGGAAATGAAAGAAATATAAAGTATAATGGGGGTATGTCCATAATTTGATATATTATGGGATGAATTAACAGCTGAAGAGCATTTATATTTATTTAGTTTATTAAAAGGAGTTCCTTAAAATCAAGTATAAACATAAATAAAGAATAGTCTATAATAAGTAAGTTTATTAAATGTAATGAGAGCATAAGTAGGAACATATTCTGGAGGAATGAAAAGAAGGGTTTCTTTGGCAATATCAGCAATAGGGAATCCAAAAATAATATTCATGGACGAACCTACTACTGGTATGGATCCAAAGACAAGAAGAGAAATATGGGAAATGATACGAAATTTAAAAAAAGACAAAGTAGTAGTTCTTACTACTCATGCAATGGAAGAAGCTGAAGTTTTAGCAGATCGAATTGTTGTTGTCGCAGGAGGAGAACTAAAATGCATAGGTATTTATGCATATTACATATAATTTAAACATATTATTATATTAGGGACACCTTTGTATTTAAAAAATCATTATAGTGATGGATATAGGCTTAATTTAGTTACAGATTAATAAAATGTTGATTATGCTAGGATTGCCATTAAGTAAGCTATTCCATCTTGCAAAATTTTAGATGAAAAAGGAGGAAATATTATTGCTTGTGTACCTGTTATTCATTTGAATGAATTGGGTAATTTCTTTAAAATTATGGAAAACGAAGCAACTGATAAGTCCATTTATAATCTTAAGAATATTATTAAAGATTGGGGATTATCGCATTCTACTATTGAAGAAGTCTTTATGAAAATTACTAAAGCAAAAAAATATTTATTATGATTTATTTTTTATAAAATAAATTTAATTTTAAATATTTAATTAAATAATATTTTTTATTAAATTTTAGTTAGGTTTATTATTTTAAAATTTTCCATAATTAAAGTTATAAAATAGAAAAAAATAATTAAATAAAAAAAATATAATATCTAATCTTATAAATATAAAAAATATTATTTAAAAATAAATATAAAATATATAATTATTATAATAAAATAAAAAAATAAATAAATAAAAAAAGAATGATAAACTTAAAATATTTTGCATTTTGTAAAATCCATTAGGAAAAATTAATTTATGCAATAACTAATGAAAAGAACATGGAATCAGTATATTAACATGAATGTTTTAAAATAATAAAAGAAGTAGAAAATTTATAATTAAAATAAGAAGAACATTAAAAAATAAACACAACATATGGATCTTGGTACTGTAAAATAGATAATTAAAATATAATTTATTTAGTACTTTCAAATGATAGTTATCCTGAAGGATATGCATATAGTATGATTTAAGTATTATAAAACCATTTAGAAAAGATAAAAAATTACGGAAATGAAGATGATACTACCTTAAAATTTCATGCAAAAGCAACTATGAATGAATAAATAATAAAATATAATGATTTATCCAAAATAGAAAATTTAAAAAAAACTACTTCAACTATTTAAAGTTTAGAGGAAAGTGTTAAATAAAATATTTAAGTTGCCATAGAAAATAATATTAATTTAGAAAATTTGGAAAGTAAAGCCTAAAATTTAAATCAAACTTCAGAATTATTATTGAGTTAGTCAAATGATTTAGCAAGAATACTTAAGTATAGAAATTTAAAATTAAAAGTTTTAGGAGGATTATGTGGTTTAAGCATTTTAATATTTGTTGTATTGCCCTTTTTTTGAGTTATTTTAATAATGTTATTAATTTTGTCTTTATTAGTGTAAATTTAGTAATTTATTAAAAATTATTTTAAAATTTACTAAAAATAGTTTTTTGTTAAAAAATAATTATTTTTTATATTTTTTTAAAAATGTAAAATTTTGAAATTTAAAACTGTTTTTTATAATATTAAATAAAAAAAGGGATTACTAAAATAATAGTAAGAATATTTAAAATTATAAATAACTTAAAGAAGTTTATAAATTATTTAAGCTATCCATATTTTTTATAATTTTTTACAAGAAAAGTATAAATAGCTTAACTTATAAATTCTATAAGTAAAAAAATGTTAATATTTTATATAAATTATAAAAATAAATGTAATTAATTTAATAAAAAACTATTTAGTAAAATTAAATTAATAACAATAAGTTAAAAAAATCTATAATATTTAATATAATTATTTAATGTATTTTTTTAAATACTCAATAATTTAAAAAAACCAAGAGAAAATGAAAAATTGCCTTTTTAAAAAATTTTCGAAAGCATTTTTATTTTTATAGTATTAATGAAAACGGTAAATTTAAATCAAATTATACAAATTAAACTCCTTTTTTTTAAAAAAAGTAGTCATTTATATTTTATAAACTAAAATATATCATATCCTTCATTAATTATATTCATTCTAAAAGTTAATATTAAATTTATTTTTATTAATTATTTAAAATCTTAAAAAAAAAATATTATCAAATATTTTTTTTTTATAATTTATTGTAATAATATTTATATATATTGCGATATTTATTGTGATTTTTTCGATATAATATTATAATCCATCATTTTACTTTAAATTTTTATAAATATTTATATTAATTAAGGAATATTTGAAAAATTCTTAATAATAAATAATAAAAAATAATAAATTAATAAAAATAAATAATAAAAAATAAATAATAAAAAAATATTAATAAATAATAAATTTTAAATAAAAAATTATAATTTATAAATAATAAATTATAAATAAAAAATTATAAATAAATAATAAAAAATAATAAATATTAAATAATATAAAATAAATAATAAATATTAATTTTTAATGAATTATTAATAAATAATTTTTAATAAGTAATAAATTATATACAATAATTTAATTTTTTTTTTTTTTAAATTTAGAAATTATTTTATTTATATATTTGTATGTTTATTTTTTTATTAATATATATAAACAAACATATATTTTTAATATTAATAAATCTTATTTTTAATTATTTTTTATCTTTAAATAAATAATAATTATTTTAAGTTATTTTTAACAATTGTATATTGTTAAATTTAATTAAAATGCATTAAATATAATTTTTTAAACATAATTAATTAGTACATATAACAAAATATATTTTTTTTTAATTTTTAATACAAAAAACATTTCATCTTATGATTATGATAAATTTAATTAAATAAAAATATCTAAAAACTGTATTTTTAAATTCGTAAATAATTAAATAATTATATCTTTAATTAGTAATATCAATAATGCAATAAAATATTATATCTTAATATATTAAATCACGAAATTAATTTAAAATATATTTAAAGTTTATATTTTTTAATTATTTATTAATTATTCACAAATAAAATTTACAAAAAATATATATTAATAAATAATCTTTTATATAATATTATATTATTTTATTCTTATTTTTAAATTCGAATAAAAAATTGCAATCATTTTTTTTTTTTTGATTAATACAAATAATACATAAAAACAATAATAATTAAATATATATTTTGAGGTTTTTCAAATGCAATCATTTTTAGAATTTTTAATCTGAAATTATCAAAAATTTTTAAATTATTTTTATATTATTGACAAAAACTAGAAAGTTAAAATAATATAGTAAAATATATATGAAGGCTATTATGAAGATCATTTTATCTAATTTGCTTGTAAAGGACATTTATTAAAAAGGTCGATAAATAAAAATAAAAAAATAGTTTATTTATTACGACAGAATATACTATAAATTAGAAAACTATACTTATTCCGGTTGTCAATAAAAGATTCGAAAATAATAAGAACAATAATAAGAGATTTAGTTTATAAAAGACTAAATTAGTTTGTAGCATAGATGAATTGCGTGCATACATTTAGTTTTTAGTTTATAATCGAAGGATATAAGCATTATCAAATAAACCTTGCAATAAATAATTATATATAAAATAAAAAAAATATAAAGACTATATATGAAAACGAGATAAAAAAGCTAAAACAAAGAAGATTAAGATATGTAGTTGATATTCAAGAAAGTTTTCTTTATTTACGTTTTATATAAAATTTATAATAAAAATCCTTATAAATGTTATAAAATTACCTATAAAAATTACAATATATCGAGAGAAAATTATTAAATAACTTTTTTCAGTAAAGGACTGAGTTTTTTCAAAATAAACTAATCTGAATTACTTTTTTTTAAATTTTTGATCCATATTAAATAATCATTTCATTTATAAAATTCGGTTAATATAAAAATAAATAAAATATTTTAATAAATAAAAAATCTAAAATTTATTTAAAAAATAAAATTTTTAAAATATAATATAGTCTAAAATATAAAAAATATAAAACTCATTTTTAAAATGTTAATAAACAAATAAATTAAATTTAAATATGTAAAAGTTGTTAATGTTAAAATCTTACAAAGTGAAATCTAAAATAATAAAATTCAAAATTAAAATATGTTTATATAAATTTATACTAAAAAAGATTTATATAATGTCTCTAAAATAATTGGAATTAATTTTGGTATTATAGAACAAAAAAAAGTAATCAAAAAAATTATATTAAATTTATATAAATATAAGTCTCGTTTCATCTGACACTCATTTTCAATGCAAATTAAAATCTTAGTATATTACTAAAAATCTTGCTTTTTTATCAAATTCTTTACAAAAAGTATTTTCAATAACTACTTTTTTTATTATTATTTTTAATTTTTTTAAAACTAAAAATATGTATTTTTATTAATAAGAGATTAAAAATAAATATTATATTTAAAAATTGTAAAAAACACTATAATTTAAAACTAAGCCTGCCGCGCAAACAATAAAAATTATTTTCTAAGTTATTTATTTTGTCCATTTAAAGTTTTATTTATTTAAAGTTTTGTATATATTTGTTTAGTTTTTAAAACATATTTATTTAAAAATATATTGAAAAATTTTTCAAGTTTTTTTTTTCATTTCATAATTTTTTAATAAATGCTTATTACTTTTGTACAAATTTTTTCTAAATAAAATGTTCGTTATTTAACTTTAATCTCCTTTTTTATTTTTTGATTATGTTTTTAAGAAAATACAGAAAAAATAAAAACTAATGAGCAAGTAATATATTAAGAATCAATAATTATATTTTTATAATATAAGTTTACAAGTATTATATTTTTTTAATGTATTTTTATAAATTTATTTAAAATTTTATATTAAAAACATTATTAATGAAAAAATTTAAAATTTTGTTATGAAAAAAAAAAAAAATTAAAATAAAGTATTATCAATAATTTAAATTCTATTATATTAATAATAACTACGTAAAATAAAATGCCTATTTTATAAAATTTATTTATAGTTTATAAAAATATATTATTGACTTACGATTAGTCAGTTTAATAAATAGTAAATTAAATATATTTTAATTATTTAAAAAAATATTATCTTTATATATTTATAATTACTTAGTATTTTATTTAATACAGAATTAATTATTAAATCTATGATAAATTAAATTTTGAATAAAAATAAATATAATTAGTAACAGAAAATAAAAAATATTTAAAAAATTTATACATTTCTAATTTTGTAAAAACATAAAATCCTATAAATCTATTTATAATTTTTCAATTCCACTCTCCTTTAATTTAATTAGCAATATTTTCAAATTAAATAGCTGCTAATCTATCAGGCGAATTCTATGCTTATATATTAGTTTAAAACTATTTATATTTTTCATTATTTTCGTCTTTGTCATCATCTTTATCAACATCAAGGTCTCCATAAGCTAAATACTTGTCAACTTTATCTTCTACGCCCTAAAAAGTTAAAAAAGGGTAATAAAATCCTCTTAAACAAAAAATCTTAGTTACAAATCCAAGCTAGGATTTATCGAAAATTTTAAAAACACAAAAAAATGCTACACTAACAAAATCAGTAATTAAATCAACAATCC